AGGGCAACCTCCTGGTTAAGAATAAATCCTTTAGAAATATTGTAACCAAAATCTTGAACTAAAACTTCGCTCATTATTGTCAATAAGCCTTACCCTCCCAAGTTATCCACTTTGTTTCACACTACAGGTGGTGGTGGCAGATTAGAAAAACATGTATTCTCATCTTTTCCTACTAAATAATTACTGACACTCTACAGAATTTCTTCTCTATTTAAATGAAAGATTCTCTATTGCTGTTTTTCAAAATAATTATCTTCTTGCTAGGTAACAGTTCTATAGAAGGCCCAAATGTTTTAGTTTCTTTTCTAATTTGATACCATTCTGGCCTCCTTCCCCCACTCCTCAATGCTAATAGTTCCTAACCTGTAGCCTGAGCTTAAACAATTTTAATTTACAACTAATAATTGATACTTGTTAAAATATTGGTTGGCAAATAACAATGAGACTAGCTTTAAAAATATCTAAAATTTTTGTCCTATTTAACAGGCTATGTAACATTTAGCCTATTTTTTCCCTTAAAATATTTAATAATTTCCCTTAACAATTTCCATTAGGATTGTACCAGATATACATAATAAGCAAACATCTTAGTAAAATTCAGCATATGTTTCTGCCTGCAATAAGCACTAAGCAAAAAACAAGATTGTAATTATCCTTCTTTTGTTAAACTAAAATCAAGATTTCAAAAAAATACTTTTGGGCGTGATTTTGTTTTGACAAAGGTAACATGAAAAACATAAAGCTTTCATCTTTAATTAAAAGAAACCAATGTGACCTAATTCCTTATTTTATGAAAAAGACTTCTGACTTTACTCTTCTAATGGATTAACCAACTGCATTTCCCATACTCCAAACAGCAATGCCACTTCAACCATTCTTAAAATATTACATTATGTTTAAAATTATTATGAATAAATATTTATAGGCAGGTTAAAAAATGAACAAAAAATTGAAGCCCCTTTTTCCCTACAGAGAACTATGTATCTATGAATAATTTGTTGCCATTGTTACTATCTTAGAGCATTTAAAAGTTTTGCCCTCAAAGCAACCATAGTAGGCAGATACATAGCAATATTTCTCAAAATGCTTCTGGATTTTCCTTTAGAGCTCTCCAATATGTAAGCCACACAAGAAAACTGTTCTCATTAACCAACTATTACCCATTTTACTGGGATTAAAAATGGAATTTCTTGGTCTGAACACTTACCTTATTCATCCCACTTAACTCTTAATTTTGGTAGTTAAAAAAAAATTAAATTCACTTTCAATGAAGAAAAAGAGTTGTCTCTACTAAAGATATTCAGAGAGATGTATCACAGGAACATTCCAAAATTATCTCAAGTAATAAAAAGCAACATTAGGCTAGGCACAGTGGCTCATGCCTGCAATCCTAGCACTTTTGGAGGCCTGGGCAGGAGGACTGCTTAAGGTCTGGAGTTCAAGACCAGCCTGAGCAAGACCAAGACCTCTACAAAAAAAACCCAGAAAAATAAGCTGGGGTGTGGTGGTGCATACCTGTACTCCCAGCTACTCCTACTTGGAAGGCTGATGCAGGAGGACTGCTTGAGCCCAGGAGTTTGAGGTTGCAGTGAGTTATTAATATGACATCACTGCATTCTAGCCAAGGTGACAAAGCGAGACCCTGTCTCAAAAAAAAATGGAAGAAAGAAAAAAGAAGAGCATCACTGTTGGAATAAGTGTATAACCTCTCCAGTTAAATATGACTCATTTAAATGTGAAGCATGACTAATTTATTCTTAAAAAGTCATATGACAGTCATTTTATATATATATGTGTGTGTGTGTGTGTGTGTGTGTGTGTGTGTGTGTGTTTAAGTATCCTATACTCTCTCCTAAAATCACCTAAAAGTAATGAAAATATGTGTTTTTAGTTGGGCAATAACTGGAGCATAGCATAACTGGAGCAATTAAATTTAAGATATTCTATTAAATAAAAAAGTTACACTATGATTTTTATACACTGTTGAAAATAATGACTGTTTTGTCTAAAGGCAGCAGTAGTTCCCACTACTATCTCATGTTACAGTTAAGCCTTGATTTAGTTCCAGAAAATAATAGAGTAAAATTTTCATATTTCCCTAGATCTATATTTCCCTGTCTACTGTAAGGGAATTTTAGAACATGAAGGCAAAACAGATATAAAAGAACATTTTTAGATGACAATTTTTCCTTGGAATTTGGTTAAAATTTGGCTTCCTCTCAGAAATCTGTACTCACATCCATAAAAGTAAATTTCTATTTTAGTAGCCTTAAAAGAACTAGGTGAGAAAAGATGATTACCTATGACAGTAAAAAGCAAATACTTTGGCAAGTGTGAATAAGAGTACTATTAAGTAAAGACATTCACAAATACATTTTTTATGTCTCTTATATGTGGTATAGGTTATAAATTAGAATCAAAGCATCATGGTTATTTGATCGAAGGGTACTGGTGGGCATTAACAACACATCTGTCTCCAAAAGATGTGTAGCTTCATGGGGAAAAGTCAGTCAAGCAAAGGTGTAGGGGAGAATAAAACACAGAAAACACCACAAATCTCAGACCATTATCTTTTTTTGTCTGAAAAAATGGGTCCCCTAAAGCATGGAAAAAACTTCACAGTGGGAGTGCTTCTATTCCACTAGCAGGGGAGATCTTGATGCGGATTCTGGCCATTCATACACATCTGGCAGCAGGGAATCATATTCATTTCGCCATATTCTTTCTTTAACATATTTGGCCTTGTCTTCAGGTTCTGGGTATCGGAAAGCCATTTTATTAGCATACAGGTATTCTGTAACTTTAATAGCAATGTTAATAGACACTTCCTGAATATGAGCAAGTGGTGGGTAAAGTCTCCCTTGAGCTAGCTCTTTCTCCGTCAATTGGCTTATCAGTGCCTTTGCAGAGTTACAGAGAATAATAGCTAAAGCCACACCTGGAAATATATATACATTGTTTCCTTGACCTGGTATAAAGACTCGCCCATCGCTGAGTTTTACTGGCTCAAATGGACTGCCACTGGCAAACAAACACCTTCCCTCTGTAAGTGTATATGCTTCTTCAGCCCTGCACTCAGCCTTTGCTGTAGGATTACTTAGTGCAAATATTACTGGCCTTTCATTGATACAGGCCATGGCTTTGATTACACCACGAGTGAAAAGACGGCCAGCACCTGCAACTCCAATTATAGCTGAAGGCTTAAGTGTATTTACTGCCTCTTCAAAAGTATCAGGTATGTGCTCTGGGGCTGAGTGAGTAAATAGTTCTTGATGATTATCTATTTTGCCTTTCCACCCCTTAATTAATAAACCATACTTGTCAAACATCCAGATTTTCTTTTGAGCCTCTTCTCCTGAGAGGCCATTTTCTACCAGAGACATTAACTATGAGATTTGCAATTCCAAGAGCAGCCTCTCCTGAGCCAAGAAATAAGATTTTGTGTTCTGAGATAGGTTTCCTAGTAACTTCTTGTGCAGTAAGAAGACCTGCTAGAGCCACTGCAGCAGTCCCTTGAATATCATCATTAAAAGTACAATTTTTTTCTCGATATTTTCTCAAGAACCTGAATGCATTATGATTTCCAAAGTCTTCAAACTGAATAAGTACGTTCCGGCCGTATCTGGCAGTAACAGCTTTCATAAACTCATCAATCAGGTCATCATAATGTTGTGAGCGATCTCGTTTCTCATACAAGCCCATGTAAAATGGATCTTTTAAGAGTGCTACATTATCAGTTCCCACGTCAATACACACAGGCAGGCCTTTATCAGGCTGTATTCCTGCACAAGCTGTATACAAACAGTTTTCCTACTGGAATTCCCATTCCATAGACAGAATTCCCATTCCATAGACTAGAATTCCCATTCCAGTTTTCCTACTGGAATTCCCATTCCCATTCCCAGATCTCCAAGACCCATAATTTTCTCTCCATCAGTCACCACAACATCCTTAATATGATTTTCTGGCCAGTTATCCGCAATTGATCTAACATGACCTCTGTCTGAGATTGAAACAATCCCTTAGGTCTTCTAAAGATGTGTCCACACTGAGAGCAGGCAAGCCCAACTGTTGGTGTATATACAATTGGCATTAGGCTTTCCATATCATCTTGCAGTATTCTAAAAAACAATTTCTCATTTCTTTCTTGTATTCCCATTATATAGATGTATTTTTCCAAAGGGCTACTCATTTTTTTCAAGTTTCTGTGGAATCGTAAGGCTTGAATATCTTGCGTCTCTATTTTGGGAGGTAGAAGTCCTCGAAGACCAAGCATTTGTCCTTCCTGTAATGTAAATGCCATTCCCTTGTTTGTTCTTGGATTTAACATAAGTGACTTGCCTTTGTCTTTTACGTGCAAATGACGACATGCCAAAGTACAAGGAGTGGCAACTACTCTTAACCCGCATAACATCTTTTTTTTTTTTTCCACCGGACGTCTCGCCCCGCCACAGGTGGCGCTGCCCGCGAGGAGGCGCGCCCTGCCGCGCGCCCAGGCGATGCTCGGCAGCTGCGCCGCCCGGCCCTCCCCTGCTCCGAGCTTGCCCGAGCCGGCGCCAGCTCAGGCTTGCGTCGGCGTGGGCGGCCCGACACGCGCCAAGGTAGCAGCCAAGAAAGACGCGGAGTGAGCGGATCCAGCCGCGAGGAGAGGCGGCGCGGCCCTGAGCGGAGACGGACAGGCGCGCGAGCCAATGGGAGGGAGGAGCCGGCTGGGGGCGGGGCTCCGCCCGGAGGCTGGGCGGCCGGGGAGCTCGGGTTACTGCCCCGGCGCCTTCCTCCGTCCGCTTCCTCGAGGTTGCTGTTCTGAGGCCGGGCGCGCGTCCGCGTGGACGCGATTCCGAGGCTGTGAGAAGGACGGGGCAGAGGTGGAGGACCTCGGAGATACGCCGCCCTAAGAAAGAAAGAAGCTGGGGCCAGTTGACTGCGAACCTAACGCCCCCAACACTCCCGGGGCCCCGCGGGGATATCGGGACTGCGGCAGCGCGTTCGCGCGAGAAGGGGCTCTCCATTTTTGTGGTATTTCACTTAGAAGAATGGACTCCAGAACCTTACTAGTTCTCCAGTTTTCATGGCTGAGTAGTACTCCACGGTATACATACACCTCATTTTCTTAATCCATTCATGTATTGATGGGCACTTGGATTGTTTCTACATCTATGCAATTGTGAATTGTGCTGAACCATTCTAGTGCAGATAGTTTTTTTTTTTATAGAATATCTTTTTTTTTCCCCCTTTGGGTAACTACCCAGTAGTGGTATTACTGGATCAAATAGTGATTCTACTTTTAGTTCTTTGAGATATCTCCACACTACTTTCTGTAGAGGCTATACTAGTTTGCAGTCCCACTAACAGTGTATCAGTGTTCCTATCTCTCCACATCCATGCCAACATTTGTTGTTTTGAGACATTTTGATAAAAGCCATTCTCATTGTGGTTTTGATTTGCATTTCCATGATGATTAGAGATGTTGAGCATTTTTTCATAGGTTTCTTGGCCATTAGTCTATCTTCTTTTGAGAAGTTTCTGTTCATATCCATTGCCCACTTTTTAATGGGATTGTTTGTTTCTTTTCTTGCTGATTTTCCTTAGTTCTTTATAGATTCTAGTTATCAGTCCTTCAGAAAATGGAGAAAATACTGTTTTAAAGAGGTCTGGCTTTGTTGGTTGAATTGGTTCTTAGTGAGTAAAGAGTTCTTGCATCTATCATCTTTATCCTCTTATATCTGTGCAGTCATGTGCCTCATAAAGACATTGTCATCAATGACAGACCACATATAAGACAGTGGTCCTATAAAATTATAATGGAGCATATATCTAAACCTCATATATGGCACTTGATATTGGCATTGCAGATCAAGAAGGGGAAATTATTGATATTTAGTAAACGTGCTAAGACCTGGTTTTGGTTTTCCATATAAAAACATATATAAATAAAAATATATATACCATCTAGATTTGTGTAAGTACATTATATGATATTCACACAGTGATGAAATCATCTAATAATGCATTTTTTCAGAATGTAGCCCTGTTGACACATGACAGTGTATATATATGTACACACACACACACAAACACCCATATACAAAGGAATTGATGAAAATGTGACCTGCCAACTATACAAACAATGCAAAAATGAAAACATAACAGAAGTCATACAAAAACATTCCCTAAAATCTCCTTAATTAAAAGCATACCCTAAATTCTCCTTTTTTTCAAATTTCCACTTTTTTTTTCTTTTTTTTAATTTCATCATATTATGGGGGTACAAATATTGTTAAGGTTACATATATTGCCCTTGCCACCCCTCCCTCCCCGTCAGAGCTTCTAGCGGGTCCATCCTCCAGGTGGTGCGCATTGCACTCATTATGTAAGTATACACCCATCCCCTCCTCCCCCTCACACCTGCCCCACACCCAATAAATGTGGGCTTTTTTTGACATTTTGGTTACATTTTATATCTTTGCCTCTCCCTAGCAAGGGTTAGGGGTATGCCCTTCCCTTCCACAATGCTCACCACCATTTCCCTAAGATGTGGGTCTACCCCCACCCCCAATCCCTGGTGAGCACTACATCATTTGAGCACCATAGTGTTAATCAATCAGTACCAGTTTGATGGTGAGTACACGTGAAGCCCATTTTCCTGATCTTGTGTCTCCTCACTTTGGATAAGGGGCTTAAGCTTAATCCAGGATAGTATAATCGATGCTAGCTTGCTGTCGTTTCTTAGAATTGAGTGATATTTCATTGTGAACATTTGTTTTATTAAAAGTGCCATTGAATGTGTCTTTTTATAACTTCAAGAGGCATATGAATTTCCTTTTCTGTGAACTGTTGGTTCACATTCTTCACCCATTTTCCTACTGTGTTGTGGCACTCTTAACATTTTAAGAAGATAAGCTCTGTAATATAAATTGGAAATATTTCCCCCATTTGTCATTAATCTTTTGTTTGTGGGGTGGTTTTTTTTCTGCATTTTTTTTATTTCAGCATCTTAAGAGAGTATAAATGTTTAGGTTACATACATTGTCTTTGCCCCACCCGAGTCAGAGCTTCAAGCACGTCCATCCCCTAGACCGTGTGCACCACACCCATTACGTGTGAATATAATCCCTCCTCCCTCCTCCCACTTGCCCAACACCTGATGAATGTTACTACATGTGCACATAAATGTTGATCAGTTAATACCAATTTGATGGTGAGAACATTTGGTGCTTGTTTTTCCATTCTTGTGATACTTCACTTAGTTTGTTATCCTAATTTCATACTGGTGCCATGGGTTGGAATTTTGCTGTACACGATTGTCACTGGTAACCTAGAGACCATATTCCACTCATTGGTCAATTTTCATAGCCAGTATCCATAGTTCACATCATAAGTATTCAGGAAGACTTGAATGAGAATTTGTGGTGTCTTGTTTTGCAAAAATGGGCTCTTGCACAGATTCATCATATGAGTAAGAGTGTGGTTTATTTTCTTCAACATTCATGTTGACATATTATCAATTATATTTCCTTTGCAATATATAAAATTGCTTTTCCAAGATTTGTGATTATTTTAATCGGTCAAGAATATATTGATTCTGAATATTCTGTGGCTCTACGTTTATGTATAGAGAGGTTTATTTTATTTCTTTGACTAATACTGCAGGATTTCTATTCCCCTGGAATCTCTATGATGAGATATATATATTTGGATATAATCCAATCTAGTTCATACTTATACACAATTATGATGATCTATGCTGAAAATATAGACATGTATGAGCTTAAGCTTACAAAGAGAAGTAAAACCAGGATGAATTCATTCTACAACACATGACTCACATCTTTATATTCTTTATGATTTGGGTGGAACTCACCAATAAGGAATTAATTAGCTCATATGTTAGTTACTTCAAAAATCTCCTCAACTATGTGATAACACTCTACTTATAGGAAACGATAAGGCTTGGTTAATACATGCAAATTGTCCATAGCACAGACGAATTAGTGTAGACTGAACTGTAACACCTTGGTCCCAAAGATGGACAGGTTGCAGGGAGACTTATCATTTTGCCCTTTTTCAGTATTTTTCAAGTATAGGCCCTCTTTACTCCATTACATATGCACATAGGCAAAATATATATATTTTTAACTGATCTGGCCATGCACCCATTTTACAATGGTATGAAAACAATAAAATCCTATGGTTATATTGAGTGAAAAATGTGACCAATTGAATGTCTGTGTGCCATTACTGGATGAATATAGAGTGAGATAAAAAGAAAGAAAAAACAGGGGTTTCAGACACTGACATTGCTACTGTCTCTCTAAAGACAGGCATAATCAAGCTGAAATGTAATCCCAAAATCATAAAATAAAGTAAGTTCTTTTTAAGAACTACTCTATCTTGCCAATAAAAGCTGACAGAAACTTAATATTTTTAGAACAAGCATAAATTTAACATAAAGCACAAAACATTCATGCAGGTTCTTAAAAGCTAACATCTTTGGATGATATACTAGGATTTCTTATTCTCTCTCCTGTGCATTTGAATGGACTTCCTTTTTGTCTTAAGTATCTTGAAAAAACTCAGGCACAGCTCATGTGGTACTAAGAGTAAGGAAGACTCCTGAAAGAATGGGCACCTTCAGAACGACTAGACACAACTGCATTTTTATTTATTTTACATATCATAAGATCCTGTTTGAAAATATGTAAAAAGCTAGTCTAAAACATATATGTCTGAGAATTCCTGTTCACATAATTTGAGACAAGATCAGGAACAGTTTTCAAGTGACCTATGTCTATAATGAGTAAGTGAATGCTACAGTTGTTTTTGTAATTGTATGTATCTCTTACAACTTCTTCCACTGTTATAACTTTTATTAAAGTTACTGGTAAGCATCACTGATACTCAGTTAAGACTCCCCATGTACATGAGCTGGCAACATGCCAGTGTCTTATCTGATTGGTCAGTGTTCATGCTAACACAGTTGCTAAATAGTTTAATATAACCATTTCTGTTACGTACCTTATAATCCTAATTCAATCTCATAAATTCTTCCCTATCCATAGATATGTGGATGAGCTTTTAAAACAATTACTAAAGATTAGCAATAGGAAAAAATCAGGAGGATACAAAGTGAAGAGAGAGAGGTTAAAATGTAGGCTACAGTCCAGAGCTCCTCACCAGATCATTTGACAGAACTCTCATCTGGTCACAGCCAATCTGACATTACCCTGACAGGCCATTTTCTCCAACTACCAGTAAACTCAACCTATTGCAAGATGTTTAAGCAATTGGAAAGGAATACTCATTTGTAAGTCCAATTCCAGAATTCCACTGAATTGTTTAGTCTGAAGTATTTAGTCTATATGGGGGAACACAGTGGGAATAGGGTGGTTTAAATGGCAGTTGCATATTTTAAAACAGAAGATATGAATACTGAGTAAGCATGTAAAGTATGTAAGTATATAAAAGACGTCAAGGCAATTCTAGATTGTATCTATCTTACTAATATGGGTGAATAATGATTTCTCAATTTCAAAGAGACTAGGAAAACCAAGCCTACTACTTGAATTGGATTAAGTTAACATAGAAAAAGTTTGCTGCCTATCATACTTGAATGAGAGTTTATTTGGGGGATGGGTTAGTAGAATAAATATAATATTTATGTAGAAGTTTATAGGCTTTCACATGCATGATCTTATATATTATTTCTAAAAATTCTTTGTGTTGAAAGTAGGAATTTTTTTTTATTGATGATAAATAATGATTCCAAAAAGTTAGTTATTTTTGTAAACCCCAGAAGTTAATATTGTTTCATGTTGTATAGTTAGTATACTACATGGTGAAGCAGAGATTCAAACATTCTGGATGTAGAAGAAGATATTACTGTTGATCTCTGCAATTAAATTATCTCCTGCTTTCCTTCATGAAGATGAAGTAACCCTTAGTATAAAATGGACTTCTCACTGTTTTTAGGTATTGGTAATTGAGACTACTCATGTAAGGGGTGTAGATCATAAAAATTGTGTCCCCTGACCTAATAACTGTGTTGAACTTATTAATCAAGTTAATTTTAGTAATGACAAGAATATATCT